TTTGTTTTATTTAGAATTAAAATATAAAATACGGCTATATTTTAAATATCTCACCATCTATTTCAAAGGGAGTTTTGTCCATTGCGGTAAGTCAAGAAAAGCGAGCTTTCAGCGTCGCCTCAGCATTGTCTTCACGTTGATAATCATTAGATGAACATAATTGAAGGCCGTCCAATTAAGAGAGCCGACCACCCGCACGTCGGATCGCTATCCGCCGGTGACCGGCGCCGCCGCCTCCGCCGCCGGGTTCGGCTTTTGCCCTAGCTTGGATTTTCCTTTTTTTTTTCCGTCGACTTAATCTCCCTCTCATTACATTATTACATGCATACCCTTCATTTCTTATGTATTTACATACCCAACCCCCAAGTTTGATCTTTACACACATAAATGCATCAGTTCTATAGTTCAAAGTTTTGATTTGTAAATATGAATCATAAGAAAACTTTTAAGTAAAGGCGAGGGCTTTTTGGCTCACACATGATTCTTGGGGATAGGATTGCATAATGATTAATGTATGTTTTGATGTTTAGTCTATATCAAATTAAAACAGATATTTTTTGTTGATGGATACTAATGGAAGGTTGGCAATATGTTGTCTATTTAGTATATGATTATAATTAGGATAAGCGAAATTAATAATTTGATGGTAACGTTGATATCTTAATAGTGACTTAATTTGGGGTTTGGCACATTTTCATGGGACTAATTAATTTGATTTATTTATAAAATATGATCAACAACAACCTATGGTCAATCTAGCCTGGGGAGAATATTACATCAGGAGTCTGTATGTATTTGAATATCACAAGAAACAACGAACGCAGTATTATATTTTTTATATTTTTTTATGGAGTCAAAAAATGGAATTACATTAAGACTGCACTGTTGGCACCCATTTTTGATGCAATATATAGGGGACATTTTCGTCGAGCGACACAACACTATAGTTGGGTTCTACACCATCATAGTCAGGCTCCAAGTTGAGTGTTGCCAAACTGACATTGTTTTCGGTATTCTCTAGGCTGATATTTGTTCCTGGAACACAAAGTCATATATTGTTGATATGAACATTCTCTTGGCATAGAGGATCAATTAGAGTACCTCACACCGTGTTCAAACCTTAAGAGCAAGGCCTAGATAGACGGATTTCATGTTGAAATTGCTTTGCTCGACGATATGTAGACGATTAGGCCTCTCGAAATCTTTTGAGACACGTTTACGGTCTTTTTGGAGATCCAAGGATCATTACCTGCTCACATTCGATCCTTTGGAGGTTCCATGAGGTTCGAAACCTCCTTGGCAAGCTTCTCTGGAAGCCCAAGCTTTCTATGGTTTGGCGTGACCATGCCTAATTCAAGCATGGCCACACCTAGTTAGTGGCATGACCATGCCTAAAATGGGCGCGGCCACACCGAAACCACACAACAAAGCCCAAAAGGGTTGTGGTCGGTGTGACCACGCTTGAAGGTTAAATGACAATGCCTGCCAAACAAAGGCTACGACATAATTATGTCACAATCTAAGAGTGATCATGCCCAAATCTTAGCAGGCGTCCGATTTCATCAACCGGCATGAACACACCCATAGTTGGTCACACCACCCAGACAAAGAGCCTGTGTAATTACGCGAGGCATCGGGCTTGGTCATGTCGAGCCTTAATCTGCAACACTTTGAATGGCGGTGTGACCATGTCTGAATGTGGCATAACCAAGCAATCGGGACCGGTTCAAAAATTTTGAACCTCTTGTTTCTGAATTCCCGATGGCAAGTCGACCGAGACAGATGGTTAATCTTCCTATGGTTGTTTAACCAAGAGGAAGTGACTCATTTACAAAGGATCGGTTGTCAGCTTGCTTGGGGGAGCTTAGGGAAGAAGAGAGCTTGAGGGAGAGTATTCAAGGAGATTTCTTGAGAAATTTCATCTTCTTCCTCAAGGAGAAGCTAAGTCGAGCTATTCTTCTCTATTTTCTTCACCTCGACTTTCATTTCACAGGTCATCTTCTTCGTATCCAGCGACTCTTTGCCAAGGTGAGCCTCTTTCTGACCTTGGAGAAGGAAGATTCCAATATTCTTGACCTCTCAACTCTCGGACGTGGAGACCTTCCTAATCTCTTTGGAGGAGGTAAAAGTCGGCGGTGTCTTCACTCTCTTCGGCAAGGAGAGCTTCTTTCTATGAGAAGAAATGCTTCGATCAACTGTTACGAAGGTGAAATTCCTAAATCCCTTAGGATTTTGATTCTTCAGACTCCTATGTCTGGATATTAGAGAAATTGGTTTAAGATGTTGATTTCCTAGAGGAAACCTCATAGGATTAAGAGCCTTGCATGTTCTCCTATGAATCCATGAGAAAAACTTACCTTTTTCATTTCCAACACAAAATCCCAATGGTTGGGGTCATTGTAACCCCGTGTTTGCGCTGGTCATTTCATCCCAACGATGGAGGGGGGCAAAATCAATCGTTTCGACATAGAGAATTAAAAGTTCCACGACTTTGACCCTACCAACACCGCGAAAATTTTTCCTGCGTATTTGTTGGGTGCCAAAAAATGGAGGCCTTCACCCATTGCTTTGTGCGACACACCCCTCGTTTCGTCGTTTACCCCTATGGTTTACCCATAAGTTTGCTAGTGCGAGATCGATTCGTCGTCTAATCTAATTGAATTTCATCTTGCATGAGTTTCACATTTTTATTGTATGTACTGCATTGATTATTTTCAAAATTGCATAAAAAAATTCGTTTTTGCATGTTTCGCTGATCAAAGACACCCTTCAATTCGATCGATTATCGTTAGTCTGGTCGATCGATCGGTGACCACTAACCTGATTGCATAGATTGACCGCAAAGTTGTCTAATCAACTGTCTTTGGTCCATTTAATCGATTGGCTGCCCACCGACCTAATAGCATCTGTTGAACATCTTTGTTTGATCGATCGCACACTTCAACTCAATTAACTATCTCCAGTCCACTCAATCAATCGACCATCCTTCATCAATCGATCACACACTGGTCTGGTTGACCTTCTTCTGTCCATGCTTGATCTACGCCACCACTAGCTCGATTGGTCTATTGACCACTGTTTATTGACATGGTCAATCGGTTTCACCACCGACTTGGTTGATCAATTGATCTTTTGCAATTGATATGTTGTATCCATTGCATGCTTCTTCATATTATCTGCATTGACACATCCACATTTGCATGCTTTCTTGCACCCAATAGCATATCCCTTCATATTCTCATGATAAGTATTCGTGCCTTCCAGCGGTACTTTACTCTATATATCTGCTTCGTGACATCCCTATGTAATTTAGCACCATGACACAGGTTGTTTTCGCTTACACTTTCTACTCTTGTGTGTTTGCTTGCATAACAACTTGCATGTTCATGACTTACTTGTTTGAAGTTTTTGCAATTGGATTAGTGTTCTCATACACTCACTCCTGACGCTCACAAGTCATGCGAATTGATGGCTCACCACCGAGCCCTCCATCGTGCAATTCCCTTCATTAGTATCATCTCAACAACCTGATTATCGATGAGTTGTCGCTTATTTGAGATACGAAGATTTGTCATCTGCCATTCGGACCCATATGTGCTTTGGCATTTCGGGATTCCCCATCGGGATGATTTGGTTATTTTGCAAACTCTGTATGTCGATGACTCTGTTACCCTTGTGAGGACCACAAGAGACTCACTCTCCGCCCAGTGACTTAGTGAGAACTTTGAAAACATTATAGCATTTTCTTGTGAAACAACATTCCATTGACAACTGTGATAGTTATCACCACTAATGTAAGAAAAACTCTTTTGAATCAAGAGTATTCTTGGACAACCCCCAATATGTAATTAATCATGTGGGATACATACCCTTGGGAACACTACGGAGCTCAGAAAAAACAAACACATCTGAATCTCTAGTTATGAGTTGTTTACATAAGTACTCTTTCATGATTATTGGTTTAAGATGTCTCCACTTGATCTTGTTTGGGCGCACATATTTGACCTATCTTTGCAAGGTTAATCGCTCTATGTTCTTTTTTTCTTTGTTTGTCTTCTTCCTTCCATGCCCATGTTTTTTCGGTTCATTTCTTTTCCAGATGTTTCTTATGATTTAGAAAAGAGACTTATTCAAAAAAGGAAATTATATGACGACAAACAAACTGAAGACTCCTTCAAAATATAAAAAAAGTGAAAAGGAAAAGAAAGATGCACATGTAATAATTTTTGGTATATATATATATATATATATATATATTAGATATTAAATATAAATTTACAATAGCTATATTTATTGATTGTTTAACTCAACTGATTCCTTATCATTTATCTTCTGAAATTTCATTACTATTCTCATAATTTATACAAGAACTACTTAAATTTGTGACATTTTTTTCTTTTCATAAAAAAGATCTCCGGTGATATTAATTTAAATTACAAATATAGCTTTTTCAAGCATAAACAAAATGTCCGGCGGAGTTAAAGTAATATTAAAAAACACAATCAAATAAATATAATAAGATAAATAAGGTTTGCACGTCCAAGTTCAGTCAACGGAAAAAAAGGCCAAGTTCCCATTGGCCCATTCTTTATAATCTCTTTAATTTCTCTTAATAAATTCCGTTCTATTTCTATTATTATTGACATTTTTAAGCTATAAAAATCGAATTAAAAATCACAATAAAATAAGAAAAAAATAATTTCTATTTCTATTATTTATATTTATTATTTACTTATAATAAATTTAAATAATAAAAACTAAAAAAAAATGCCGGCACTGTGGGTCCCGGCCCCACATAGCCACAGCAGTCAAACTTTACACGTGGACCATTTCCTCTCCTCTCAATCATTCGTTCCTTCTTCCTATAAACCGACCTACGTCCTATCTCCTCACTCTTCACTCTTCCAAACCAAGCTCCGAAAATGTCCGGCGCCGCCGCCCTCCTCCTCCTCCCCCTCCTCCTCCCCCTCCGGCCATTACCTTCCACTCTCACTATTCTTACCCTCAAATACCACCACGGCAATCTCCTCACCGGCAATCTCACGGTTCACCTCATCTGGTACGGCCATTTCACCCCTTCCCAACGCTCCATCATCTCCGACTTCTTTCTCTCCCTCTCCCCTCCCTCCCCCCTCCCTCTCCTCCTACCCTCTCGGCCGCTCCCTCTCCTCCGCCTCCCTCCGCCACCTCGCCTCCCTCCCCCGCCCCTCCCCTTCCTCCCTCTCTGTACTCCTCACCTCCTCCGACGTCGCCGTCGCAGGTTTCTGCACCTCCCCCTGCTGT